TATCGTCACAATGATTTTTCGCTCTCTCTGAATTCACACCTTTATTTTAGAGGTGGAGATATTATTTTACTGTTACTACCGCTTTTAAATTCATATTTGTTCGACTGTATACGTCCGATAATATACATAAATTATTCAAATTTTCTGTAATTAAAGTACGTAAATTATAATTATATTTTCGCATACATAATAAGTCGCAATATTTAAAATAACTTGCTTTTCAAAGCAAATGATGCATAGATAACTTTAAATATTAAAAACCTTTAAAAATCTCTTTCGTTTATAGTTCAGTTCGTTTCTTTCCAATAACATTATTTATATCATAATAAAATTCTATTATTACAAAAACAATCACACAAATGTCAGATTATCGTTTCGCATTATAAAGGTGATGTGACAGATCAGCCTTGCGGAAAACAATACGGCCGACTCAGTAATGCGACACTGCCAAGATCTCCGGGGTGGAGCAGACAATATGCAGTGATCCGTGCCGCTGACCGTAGGACCTACAGATTATACACACCCCCTTCCCATTGTCACGCGTCGACGGGCCACATCAAAAGATCTGAGCCCTGTAATCCGAGGCTAAGTAATAAGTTTCCGATGCGCTATCTAACTGGATAGTTTATCTGATCGTAACTCGTAACACAGTATTGAAGTTAAAGCAGCCAGTCAGTTATCGGTGTTGTTGAAAACATACAAGTTCTCGTTACAATTTCGGTTTTGAAAAATTCTCAAACTGTCGCTCAAAGCTTGTTATAGAAATCATTGTCCTTAACAAAACTAACGATTTTATCGTTTTAACAAAAAATGTGATAATTTTATAATACTTACGAACTATCGATAGCGAATCTATTGTTTTGGCAACAAAAGTCATTGTATATTTTAGTATCAAGATAAGCGTCGCTATTTCAATTCCCAAAAAAGTGTGGCTTTGTTTATACAAAGTCTGAAAGTAATTTTTTTCTTCATTTTAATTAATAGAATTGCTACTCTTTTCAATATTCAAATACATTCTTTTCACGTTCACTATTTGATATTGATGATAGATAAATTATCCATGTTTTTCATGAGGACGATAACTTTAAGAATTCTCCAGAATGAGTCAAAAACCAAACCATAATTGTCAGGAACGTTCCTTATTAAAGTTTTTTCATAACTAATATATGACTGAGAGAGACAGCACAAGAATATTATAATAATACAAAACTAAATAAACAATGTATTTATTAACTGTTGTGTCCCATGATTGCAAGGAGGTCCATGAGGAAAAAATAACAATGAAAAGATTCCACCACCTTTATTGCATAATGGCGAGGTGGATACTATTTCCTTATTACGTTATGATTTATTTATAGCTGTTATTAAGAAAAGGAAAGCGATATTTATAATAATAGAAAGGTATCAATAATATAATAAGAATTTCTCATGTTGCACTAAGATACCACCAAAAAGTAGGCGGATTATTCTTTACTAATAAATTTGATTAAGAGTGGTTTTATTATTAATTGTTTCTGTCGTTTCGTTAACTGTGTTAACTGTCGCCTATATAAAGGGGCAACAAATATCCATTCTTGGCTTCTAAGAAACAGTTATACTAGTTTCGAAATTTAAACTTTTATTACATACCACGTGATGTATATCCTCTACAAAATCCAGCTATTATATTCAATATATTTTTGTGAGTCGCTATATTTTGATGGCTTTTCAATAATTAATGAATAGTTTAGAACGCTCTAATTTGCGATACGCAAAGATCTATATTTATTCATTGGATGTCCTCTTGATACCGTCTCGTTTTCTTGTCAGTCTTAAGAAGTAAATTCTCGGTATCGTTCATAAAGTTCTCCCTAGATTTATTTAAATTTATAATATACATTAAGCTACTAAACAGCGCGTCTCAACTTCACCCGTAAATGTTCCAGATTAAGAAAGTTGTTAAGATTGATTTTAGAATCAAATAAGGTATTGAATGTTGAACAAGCACTTAAGATACTTACTTGAATATTTGAAAAAGCCTATTGTAACGTTTTAAGATGAGATTCTGGCATGACTCACTCGCATAATTTCGTAATTGGCATCAATTATAGGAAATGAAGCTCGATTTTGTTGAATATAGATTCATGGAATCAAAAACAATTTCCACAAGTATCATAAAGAATAATGGGCAAAAATATGTTATCTTCTCCGAACTTTTGAACCCCCTTCCAAAGTTCGGAAAAGGTAATATATTTTTGCTCATATAATTTTAAGCATTATTTATAAAGCATTAGAGAGATTTAGATATATTTTTCGATTTTCATAAAACTTGTGCCAAGGCAATTTACTTCGGCATTTACTTTAAAAATAAATGTAAAAAATTTATACTTACTCGTACTATGCAGATATTTAAAAAGTAAGGATTAGGGATGAGTACACATCACTGCGGAAAATATCTCACCGACGACGAATTAAAAAAAAACTTCAACATATATTGTTATGTCAATAATATGTATATTTGTTAATGATATACTATACATCTGATGTTTACCGAGTCCTTGCCTAATCAGCTGCCATCGTATATATAACCTCGTTTTCTCTCCACGCTTCACTTGAGATCCAATTTCGCCAGTTGCGGCGCGCTTGTTTATGATATGTATGAGTCCCGTATAAAGAATTTAACTTGTAAATAAGATTCGTGATACAATTTAAAAGAAGAAATAGTCCTCATACTATACATTCATATTTCATGATTTGCTTTATCTAACAACAAGAAAAAAAGGTTGTACAATCAAACTGAGTAATACCTACAATTTAGCCCCCAATATCTCACGGGGAATCCCAGGTGATACGATTGGAACGAAACTACAAATATAGTAACACGGTGTTGGAGTGTTTTCTATTTTCTAATAATACTTTTACCCCCACGTCAGGAAAAAACGTGAAAGATATTTGTGAATGTTAGATGCTTATTACACATAACATATTAAAGTAATACGAAATTATTCGGTATTTATTTTATTTCATCTTACAAATTATTTTATGTAACTTGTTGATGCTAAAAGGTAGATATTATAAAAAACAAAAAAAGATAGAAGACTTCTTCCCAACAGTATTATAATATCTGTTTTTAATTGTTTCCAATGCCCAATAAGCACGATAAGTACACAACACCATATCTTGTGACCTGTGTGAATTACTCACTGTAATTTTAAAATATTTTTACGACCTCTACAACTCATTTTTTATTATTCAATGTAGGTCACGTTGCAAACCGTATTCTAACTAAAAAACTTGATAAAAAAGTAACAGTCAATGTAGTTATCGTAAAATTACTGTATTAAGCATCCGTAGCAGTTGTTGGTTTGTTGTGTATTGATACATACAGTCAATACACGTCACTTATTCTGAACGGACGTACACATATACTATTTAAATTATGCGCCTCGGTATATTTCGTGTTTACGAATTTAACCGATCAAGAAACCAATGTGTGGTCATCGTTTTAGCCGCCAAAACTCGTCAGTACCTCGACTGTAATGGAAGTGACAGCACGCAATATTTCAGTATTAAGAATTGTATAGAGCTGTAATACACCAAGTCACCTTATTTAAATATAGGTACTTAATTTAGTCCTACATAATTTTCAAGGTATTTTGGAATGGATACCAATTTAAAAAAGGTAAACCTATAAGCTATCAGTCCCGTGAAATAATATACAACGTGTACCTGTACTTTTTGACAGAAGCTAATGTTTTTAAAAAGTCTGAAAATGGATATTTTAATAAAGTTCAAGACCGCATGGTCAAAGCCACTGGCATATCCAGACGATTTCTGCAAAATATATAATAATCGACAATGCACCATAAATTTATATAATATACATCGACTTATTTTATAATTTAAGCGCGTAATTTAAATAGTATATTTGTGTATTTTCATTTGTCTGACCGCGGTCCGAATATCAGAGGTTATTGTTACGGACTTCCACGAGATACCGCCTGATTCTATTAAAGTCTTAGCTACATAGTCCCACATAATTCCATTGTTGGCTTTGAACATGTGGAACTCTTCTCTAGAGCAAATTGCTAAACTTTAAAATCGGCATAGGCTCATTCAGGATCAAAATATTTTTACAGATATAAAAAATACATTATCAATTTTATAAATAATTTTAAATAACAAATAAATATATTTGAGATTAAAAGCATTCATCTTATAATATGTGAAAAATTTATTTCTTTATTTTATTTATTCGGCTTATTAGTAATTGAAGACTAATGTTAGTAGTTAGTTTAAGCCACTGACCTGAGATAGCATAAAACATATGTATCGCAATATGCATTTACAGCAAAAACGTACAAAATTTTGAAAAAGCTCCGGACGTTTGTAATAGCACACATACGAACACACACATACGCACACACACACACACACACACACACACACACACACACACACACACACACACACACATACATACACTTACAGATCTAGTGGTTATCCGATCCCAAGATATATGATATCGTAGGGCTAGATTGGTATAGATTGAGAGATTTTTTAGACACTGCATTGTTTTATATAACTTCTCACTTTTAGTATTTTCTAATATACCTTTATAAAATTGTTTAATAGTCTAGCAACCTAAGCAAACCTTATTTTGTTATTAAGTTCCTAAGGAGGAGCAGAACCACCCGACACAAGCGCTTTTTAGGCACTTCCTGGATGATTCTGGCCACATTACTGTTATATGTATGCAATTTAAGGAAATAAACTATTTTATTTATTTATTATTTATTTACTGACCGCCTAATGCAAATTGACAGTGACAGAAGAGAAAATGTAAAATTGAAACGTGTTGACTTATTTTGACTTAAGAGAACAGATCCAGAGTCCAGCAATTTCGTGAAAAATTCGTTGTGATATACGAATGGATACACAAGTGACCCTATCAAGGTTCCCTTTACTCTTTTAAGAGACCCTAAAATAATAAATACGTTTGTTCAAAGACAAACTCTTACCTGGGGCTCATCGTTTAGCTTTCGGTGATGCTCATGACTGGGTTCTGTCGATCGCTTCTGGATATTATGATGTGAAAATAGGAAATAGTTTCTTAGGGACCCGATCTGTAACAAAGATAAAATATAAAAGTTAGAAAATATTGAATATTAGCAGAACTGTTTATTTGCAATAAACATTCCATAGGGGGATAGGGGAAACAATGTTATTATGGTAACAATTATGGTGGTAGGGGAAAAAAATTTTGGACCATTCAAAAGTGCTTGTAATGAGCCTACTTGAATAAAGATATATTCATAACGTTTTATTTCCTATACAAACTTCCACTCTCATTTTCATTACTCGATTTGCTGTTTTTCGGGTTAAAATATAAAATTGGTCCAGTATCAATCTCTCTTCTATATAATATTAGTATAGATTACACATCAACACGTTAGTGCATGCTTGTGGAGGAAATGTGATAATACCTGCCACGCTATTCTAACAGCCACGAACTGGATATTAAACGCAGCGCTGTGACATCATAGATCTTCAAAGAAATAAAACCTTAGTTACATTTTGAAGTAGGATTTATTTGACTGAACCTCTATGCTATGACAACGCTGCGCGCAAAGATCAGCCCGTCAGTTATTATAACATATGCAACAATTGAGAGGCACTAATTATTATATAATAATACAAAATCGAATTTCAATACCAAGTTAAACCCGATAAAGAAAATTGTTTAAAAATTCACCAGTACCAGGTACACCAGTCACCAGTCGCAATCCGGACGAATGCTCTAACCATTAAACTATCTGAGACACAACAGGACTGAGAAACTTCTTAAGCACTTGTAACTTTAGCTACTAGTAAGCGTATTTTCATTTTTCTTTAAAGTTATTTATCAATATAATGTTGTGAATGAAAAATTGGTCATATAGCAATACCTACAGTTCGATGGATAACCCCAAAACTTGGAATAACAATAAGTTTCAATGAAAAAATCTAATAAACATCCTGCCTAGGCTATTCGTGGCTGGTACGATTATTTTTTCGTCAAAAAACCATCACGTCTTGATCGTAAACTGCGAAATATCCAGTACTAAGGAACACGCCGAGGCACAAATCTACCTCCATTTAAACAAAGGAGATTAACGCAACAGAGTTGTCGTAAAAGAGCGAGGGCTACGGTACAAAGTAATTTATTCAGATTGCCGCTCGACCAAAATTAGTGCCCACCTCCGAAGGAAAAATCTCGACTGGTAGGTATGTACTTATAAAAAACCATCCAAATACGAGTCGGAGTCGTGCATCAAGAATTCCATACAAAGATTAAGGTCTCAAACCCCGTTTTATTATCAGACGAAATTTACTTATACGAGTATATTTCATATTGTAATAATTACTATTTATATATTACTTTTAGTGCCGTTTGTTTACTCCTTATTTATATTCGGTATAAGATATTCATAATTTTTGTTTCCCTTGACCGCAACGAATCACTCGCCGCTAGACGAACGTGTCGTGAACAAATCGTGTAATAGAATAAAACCCAAACTTTTTTAAATTTACTATTCCGTTTTACGCACACATTATAATCGATTTATAAGAGAAATACAGCTAGAGAGATTGATCGAAACAACGAATTTAATTGTTTTTCCTATTATAAGGCAATAATATACCTACTTCTCATAAATCTAAAAATTAAATAGATTTCTTTGCAAATATTTTCGGGTTTCAAATTTAACTGTGTAAATCGAATTAAAATTCAACATGTAGCCAAGAAAAAAAAATTGAACCCTAAAAAACATTTTCCACTGGCCAATAATAAATACTTACGCACGCGAACCATATATCAGGAACACCATCTCCAGTCGTTCAATTTGAATATCGCGCTGCTTAAATTTTATTTCAAGATTTATACCACTTTATTGCTGTGAAATAAGCGTGGTTTTTATACATTAACATAAGTTCAGTAACATAAATAACTACCGAGCTATGGCTCAATTCGAAAATAAAAAGTTTCTGTTTCTTTTTTCTTGACATTGAAACATAAAAATCTCGAATTAAATTGATGATTCTTCAAAAGCTTTGAGAATTTAAAGAACATTCGAGTATGTTCATGTTTTGAAGATAAAATATGATAACATAGTCTCAGAAGAAATGGACAATAACGAACGATCAATTCAATAGATAAAAAATGTCATTTCTATATAAATTAGCTATTTCATCGAAATTTAATGAACATAAATTAGATAAGTCTTCATTCATATTAATAATGTCATTAAACTGCCAGTATACTTGGAGATTTTTTAAAAAGTAGATTCAGTAAATAGTATCTGAAATCTAAGTGAATACGAATATGAAAAACAATAACAAAGCAACACTCCAAAAATGAGAAACGTTCATGTTACAATAACAATAATGATATTCAAAGAGCAACATTTGCATATTTATTTTAGGCTGGAAAATATAAAAAAAATACACAACTCGAGGACGTTGGTTAAAAACACCGACATATATCATCATTTTCAACGAATTTGTCTTCTAAAACAATAAGTGAAATAGGAATAAAAGCTGTAACCCAATTTATTATAGGAGCGGACGAAATAAAGTTGCCAGCTTTACCTCCTAAACGCAAAGGAAACGGAAAACAAAACGGCATTACCGGAGCGGGACTCGCGTTTTTCCCGTTCCGACCGAATTTATCTCGGTTATAACGTTAGGGACCTTCCATAACCCGCTGCGGGTTAATAAAAGCGTTCTCCTAATTACGCACCAAATCAACATCATTAGTAGATAAACGTCATAATCTTTAATACAACACCCAAGGGCGGAGGGTTGCTCAACAAAATTTCTAATTTACCAGATTTCTAAATTCGATTTTCGGAACCCATACTTAAATAAATTTATATTGACGTCTATTTCGTTTCCCAGTTATTATTCCACAAATTTAAATAAGATCGATTTACTATAAGCAAGAATAGGTTTGGCCTTTTGTACAAGACTTTTAACGAATATCGTTGTATTTGATTCTAAAAAATTCGCCTGAATTCTTCTGGACTCCAGAATTACAAAATGATACAAAATACAACCTAAGTTAATAACATCTAAGTAAGGAGACAAAGTCTTTTATATTTAATCATTTATATATAAAAAAAAATCGTAACCGCGACGACATTGGCTTCATAAATTTAATTAGATATTATACAAAAACAATTCGAACAAACGAGAACAGATCCTCAAATTAAATAGAAACAAGCAGACTTGCGCATATCATTTTGAATGTTATGTTATTTTTATTAAGATAAATTGTAAGCTTGGATTAATATATCATCAGCATGAGAAAAAACATACCTCCACATCGCAAAATTTAGAATCGAACTTTACTAACAGATTAGAGCTATTGTTATATAATTATAAATAAGTATAAATATTCACAAATTGGGTTTACTCTGATTTCTATTTAACATAAGGTAATTGAGAGTATTGTACCTATGACTTAATCCAGAATAACAGTCCATGAATTAAATTATTTGACGGTTAATGTATAGCTGCTTTACGAGGGCTACCCAAGCTATGCGTTTAACGTCCACTCTATTAACCAACGTCCTCCCCCCAATGGAGGTCTACTCGCTACAAGACATATCACATACAACATTGGTGTCAAACTTAATGTAAGAAACAAAAAACCATTTGCCGCAGTTTTTCGTATGTAGGTAGTAGATGTTTATCAAATACAAACTTTTTGGTAAGCCTAGAACATAAAATAATTCCTATTTTATGTTCATACTCAAAATCGCATCTTTGTTTAAGTTATAATAGGAACTTTACGCTTATTCGTTCATTCGGTTTTCCACAATTTTTCCTTCTTTCTAATTACTTAGTCCTTAAAATATAAATTTCAAAATGTTGTATTGATGAACGAAAATATTATTCACATTCACATGATATGTGTAGAAGTTTAAATCGTACTAACAAAATCAACCAGAGTACCCGTTGCAGCAAATCCGAAAAGGCGCAATATAACGCAACGGTCGTGCCTTCAATAGGTGGCTTTATAGGTCGCGATGAAGAACATTAACCACGCCGTTACCTTATAGTGTTCGCAGGGATTTTTCGCGTGAGAGGAACTATACCGCTTCTATTACCTTTATTGGCTTATAAAACCGACGTTACTCGCGCCACGCACAACGCACTTTTTTAGAGCTGTGGGGCCAATGGCGAACGTTGTAGGCTCATATGTTTGCTGGTTATGTCAGTGTAAGTAACGCGCGGGTGTATGGTTACGTTATTGCTTTTATGTTGAGTAATTCGAGAGGAGCTTTACCTTTTAAATGACAAGCCATGGGATGCTGAGTTTTCTAACCGTCATCATTCGTAATATTGAAATACTCATATAAGGGGAGGTATGGTGGATTTTCTTTTTTGTTGTGAATACGTAAATTTTCCGGAATTACTCGGGACTACTAAGCTGGGAGTGACAGAAAAACAAGAAATACGTGTTACGATCGGAGAAATTTGTGTGATGTGGTTAAGTAACTAATTATTTATTGATATTTAACTGCTAGACGATTTATGGATATATAGTAATGAATAAGTACACCGTATTTCAAGTAGGGATCCATTCAAGACTATCTAAACAATGAACGATCCTCTTTGTCAAATCATTTGTATTAATTTCGTGGTTTCACCATTTCGCATTCTGTCTAATATCATTGTTGTCTGATCTAGATAGTGACAATACAGTCAACACCATATCACGTTATACAAATGTTATAATTTTTTGTATAGTATGCATCTCTTTTAATCCTTATTTCCATAACATTATTTCATTAATGTCTTACTTATGTATTAAGATTTCATTGAAATATAAAAAGGTGTTCGAGAATGTCAATAATAATGATGTCTTCTACAGGTACGTAGAGAAAAGATTTGATGTTTTGTTTCTTTGCATTAAATAGGCTAAGAAAACATTGGACCGTTTTTACAAATTCTTTCAACTACGGGAAGCTATATCATATCGTCTATGAAGAGTCAATAAATAATAACTGCAAAAATGAAACTTTTCAGGAGACGAAAAAAACATTTCAAATCTATTATATTGTTTTTTTCAGTACATTGC